TGTCATTGATATTCAAAAGACATATTAAATATATTAAAAAGATATGATCACAAATGTTCATCACACAGCTCACAACCATCATTGAACCATCTTGTTGTCAGTGTTTACAGTTTATACACTGTCACAAAGCACTGTTGTGGCAATGTTCAGGCCTCTGATCATAGATATTGACTGCAGACTTCACCTAACATTAAGGCTGGGACTTTATCACGTTAATTAAGATGAATTAATTACAGAAAAATAACGTTACAAAAAAAATAACGCATTTAATTGCAATTTATTTTTGCACTCCAAACAGCGTGAATGTTACTTGTTGCACGAGTTCCCGGCAAACCCATAATACTGATGCACAGGACACAACACAAGAAATGGAAACCAATGAGAAGTCGTTGCTGGGTTCGGCTGGCGGAAATTTTATTTTCAAAAATTATTGGGTGGAAACCTGGATAAAAGTACAGTTGTGTGCAAATTGTGCAAGAAAGAATTTGCCTATCACCGGAGCACTTCCAGCCTCCGCTACCACCTCAATGCCAAACATGTTGCAGCTAGCACAGACAACGCTCCTAGTTCAAGCAGGCAGTGTCGCCAATCCACACTCGACAAGATGACAGGGTTCAGAGCCAGAAAGTCCACAACTGACAAATTAAGAAACGCACTGGCAAAGTGGATTGCAACGGTGGTAGAAGATCAGGGGCTAGAAGCGGTGCTACAGATAGCGTCGTCTGACCCAACTTATGAACTGCCATGCAGAAAGACAATTTCAAACAAATTCATCAGTTTTATGACACTGAAATGTAATGTAATGTAATGCAATGTTAGGTTTCCACTTTTCTGGAATGTACTCTACTAAGTGCTGTTTTTTATTTTAATAAACAAAAACAAATGTGTTGAAGACATAGAAAGTTTACAAAAAGTCTTGAAAAAGCTTCAAAATAGCTAACTTGAATTTAAGTTTGTGCCTTGTGAATAATGCAATCATAATATTCTTTATTCATATTGCACTTTATGTTAACACTCAGTGATTAAAATAAACACGATTTTGATGTTTAAGCTCATTTATGTGTCTATTCATTGATTCAGTCATATACCAATATCCATTTAAATTGAAAAATGTTGCTTCTCATCCAATCCAACTTTATTTGTTCAGCACTTTAAAAACAAAGTGATGATGATGATGATGATGAAGACTACTGTGAGGAACATAGACAGTGATGATGATGATGATGATGATGATGAAGACCACTGTGAGGAATATAGACAGTGATGATGATGATGATGATGATGATGAAGACCACTGTGAGGAACATAGACAGTGATGATGATAACACTAGGATATTCCTGTGGCAGATAACATGGACGATGTCCGGGCTGCAGACTCTCTTCCACACAGAGTACCCGGCGTTACACCACCTGTTGTTGATGAGCACGGACAGTCCCCCTCCTTTCTTCATGCCGGTCGCGGTGGTGTCCCTGTCGGCTCCAACCGTCTGGAAGCCGGGCATGGTGACGTTGGAGTCCGGTATCTGCTCGATGACTGCAGGGATGAAGAGTTTAAAGCTCCTCTTCTTCACCCTCTGTTTAACCCCCGCTCTGCAGCCTCACCGTCTCCTCCTCAGCTCCTCCGGTATGGAGGCTCTCTCTCCGGTCAGGATGCTCGGGTACCTCAGGGTGATCATCTGGTCGCGGGTGTAAACAATGCGACTCCCCGCGCAAACAAAAAATAAAAAGTGCTCAAAAACGCCGAAAATGTATTTAGGCGACGTGAACAAAGTAAGTTAGTAAGAAAGTAAGAAAACAGTTCAAAATAGAAAAAAACAGGCTGAAAACACACTGAAACTACAACAATGACAGGAGCTGCCATGACAGGCTGCCAGCGCCATTCTCATGTCAAATATTGATATACGATTGAGATTAATTAATTACAAAGCCTCTAATTAATTAGATTATTTTTTTAATCGAGTCCCACAACTACCTCACATACATTCTTTGATTATGGGGAAACCCACACAGACATGGGTGGAACATTCAAACTCAGAAAGCGGTGTCTCTCTAATACAACAAAAAAACCTGTTACAGCAGTGGCGTCCTCTTATTGCATAAAAACCTGTATGTATGTTTGTGTGTGTCTTTGTTTGTGTGAACTAACCTGTTTTCTGTAAGATTTTTCTAAAATGGAGGACTTAATATAAAACATATACAATCTGCAGCCTGGGTTGAAAATACAAATGGAAACCTTTGAGTTAACTTTGACTTTATTGTAATGTTAATTAAAGTGATATAACTCCTCTTTCTGGTTCTGTTTAACCTGTGAAATCTGAAATGGCAGCTTTAATATAAATGTTAATGAAACAGTAAACATATCTTTGTCAAAGTCTAATAGAAACAATTGAGAATAAAAAGCTCTGATAAATGAGTATCTCTTCAAACATTTGTCTCTGAGTTGAACTCATATTCACACAGTATGTATTCAGTACTGAAATATCTGAACAGGGTGTGTATTGAGGAAACAAAATGTCAGGTAAAATACTTTCTGTTCTTCCTCTTATCTAAAATGTAGACTGTGACACTTTAACATTAAATGTTGACAGACTGAGCCGAGGAAGATTCACACAGGATCTAAATGTTGTCACATTAAAGTCAGTGTGTAGGTTGTCTCTCTTTACTACACAAATACCATTAAAACTCTCTTTTCACTGAAATTAAATTTCCTTATGCTCCTCTGGTTACAGGGACATATCGACCTGATTAAAAATCTAAAAACATATTTTTAATTATTATTTTTACTGGTCTAAAAGAGTCCAAACATTGAACCAGGCAGGTGTAGCTGATAAAGTGTGTCCATGTTTTACATCATTATACGATATTGTACAATATCTTTATACAACGTACATGTTGGTCTACTCTATGACATATTTCAGATGATACAGGCATTAACATTAACTGTGATGGGCAAAATAAAGAGTTCATTATTACTCAGATACCAACAGACTTCCAACAGGTATATGACACCTGAAGGTGGAGCTCCATCTGCTAGACACTGACATGCAGACACACAAGAGAGGTGCAGAGCAGAAGAGTCTGTTTGACTTCAGCATTTAACAAGAGTCACAGTGAACTACAGGGAAACACTTTATTCATCTTTCATAATGATAAACACAGAAACCAAAGATCAAACACAGAACATACAATTAAAGATTCATCTGAATTCTGTCTTAAGTTGATGTCATCAGTTATAAAGCATCTATTCTTATTGGACATGTAACAAAACAGAGAAACATCAAAGCATTCATTGTCTATAAAGTCATTCTTTATCATTCTGATTCATCTGATGAGCAGTTTAAATGATATTCAGCTTGGATTCATATTTAATATTTGCTGTGATATTTGTGATTTGGGTGTTGCAGAGAAAACAGGGTGAATGACATCTAAACATTTCATTTCACTCACAAACATCATTTTCTTTCTCATATTCAAAAGAAAACAAAGATCATCTCTAAAGACCAAACAGAGCTTCCAGCTGCTGAAGTCTTTCTTTACTGAGCTGTTGTCTGTTTTAATCCGTCAATAATTACATTAATAATTAGGAACAAATAGCCTACATCATATCAAAAAGATTTTCTACAGACTAAAACTTGTTTACAATAATCAACTTATTCATTATCATTATTATTATCTCTACAATATAATGTAGATTTTATAAAACTTTATACGAAACCAACTTAAAACAAAACCACACCAATGATTGTACAGAGTCAGTGAGTTATTAACTGTTTAAATCCTCATTTATCACGAGACAGAACAGACTGAAATCAACATTTTGTCATTTAAAGAATCCAACTCAAACATCCAGAAATCTCTCAGACTGAACACTGGAGCTGAGCCAGAGGGAGATATTATCAGATGCTCTTATTGACTTCACAGAACAAACTGAAACAACACATAAAAACAAAAATGAACAATAGATACAGTTTGTACGATGAACAATGAATACAACAGAAATAATAAAATGTAAAACATTAAAACAGTCGATATAAAAATAAACACCAGGGAGACAAATAATGTAAAAACTGATGATTAAAATCTAAAAACTAAGACTGTAACATTACTCCAAAGAACCCATGTAGAGATTCTTTATATTTTGCACTCAGTTTCAGTTACTGCTGATGAAGCCTGCAGCATCACTACTGTTGCTATGGTTACCTGCTGATGAAGCCTGCAGCATTCCTACTGTTGCTATGGTTACCTGCAGTTGAATATTGTACAGGCTGCTGATTCAGACACCTGACAGCCAATGAGAAGTATTTCTGTGACCATAGTTTACATTACAGTGTAGTCCACTGCTGAATATTACTATGGAATATTTCCTTCTTTAAAGTTTCACTGATTGAAACTAAATGAAAGTAGAAAAAAGGAATCTTCTGAAACTGATCTGTTGTTGTGACGTTTACATCGAACAAATATGCTCATAAAATCCAACATGAATCATCTTCATTCATCAGTTCCTGTATCAAGTCATTCATTTCTTTTTCATGTTTTTGCAGCAAATTTTTCTTTTCCTCCTCACTTTTCGTATTCTTCATTTCTTCTTCATGTTTTGTCAGTAACTGATTGATTTTTTTCAGATTTCCTTTCTTTTTGGTCACACATTTCACTAAATTGCAAATTCCCTCTTGATGTTTTTTCCTCATTTGTTCTTCATTGTGGACTTTAAGAGCCTCTAAGATATTATATTGTTGATCTTTGTCTTTCATTTGTTTCTCATGTTCTTCCTTCAGAGCTGCAGATTCCTTTTTGTATTTCTCTTTGAATTCATTGAACTCTTCAGCTTTCTTTCTGGCTTCTTCTTCATGTGTCTTCTTCAGATTCTCCAGTTTTTTCTTATAGTTCTCCTCAATGTCTTTTTTCTCTTTTTCCTCTTGTTCTCTTCTGATTTGATCCTCTTCTTTTCTTTTCTTTTCATAGATTTCTCTTTCCTGTTCGTATTCTTCTTGAAGTTTCCTCAGTTTTGTTTCTTCCTCCTGTCGTCTCTGTTCATCTTCTTCAAATCGTTCTTCCCACCATTCTTTTTGTTGTTTCTCCCAGTTCTCTCGTTCTTTTCTCATCTCTTCTCTGCTCTCCTCCAGCTTTCTATCAATGGTTTCCTTTGATTCTGACTCTGATTTTATTTTTTCCTCCAAAGCTTCAACTTTCTGTTTCCACTCCTGTCGTTGAATTTCTTCCTGTTGTTTTCTCTTCCTTTCTTCTTCTTCTCTCATTTCCTGTTCTTTCTTTCTCTCCTCACGTTCCTTTTGGATGTTTTTGTCCTTTTCTTCAAGTTGTTTTTCTCTCAGTTTTCTCTCCTTTTCAATTTCTGCTTTCTGTTCTTCCATTCTTGTTTTAATCTTTTCCATTTCTTCCTCATGTTTTCTTTGAAGCTCCTCCCTCTCTGTCTCCATCTCTTCTTCCTTCTCCTTCAGGATTCTCTCCATTTCTTTCTTTATTGAAGCTTCGGCCTCTTGCAGCAGCTCATTAGTGTAGCAGCTGCCTCCATTTTCCTTCACCATGGTGTCAATCTTGGTTATCAGCTCACTGACCTGTGTGTGGTTGTGTTTATTGTAGTTATTAAACACATGGTATCTTCCTCCACAGTCAGAGATCAGCTTCTTAAAGGATTCATCACATTTCTTTTCAATGTATTCTTCAATGGATATCTCCTCGTGTTCCAGTGAATCTCCTCTAGTTAAAAGAATGATGATGAACTTCTCAGAATTCTTCCCAAATCCTTCCTTGATAAGTTTTAATGTCTCCTTCTCCTCTGGTGTAAATCTGCCAATTTGTAACACCAACAGGAAGACATGTGGTCCTGGAGCCAGAAGACTGATGCATTTCACCATCTCCTCATGAACCTCTTCATGAGACAAACTATTGTCAAACAGACCAGGAGTGTCGACCACAACCACCTGACGACCATCAACTTCACTCTGTTCTTTCTGACAGTGTTTAGTGACTGATGTTTGACTTGATTCAGCTTTAAACTCTTTTCTTCCTAGAATGGTGTTTCCTGAAGAGCTCTTTCCACAGCCAGTCTTCCCTATCAGCACAATCCTGAGACACTCTGGACTCCGTTCTTCATCATCACCTGTGAAATATAAAGACCAGGAATTAATTTAAATATCCACAGTAATTATATTACAGGATCAAGACTGTAATGTAGAACATGTTATATTAAAAATATTTAAATCAAAGTACTTACCAGTGATCTTGTTCTTCTTTATCAGCCTCTCAAGTTGTATGACTTTATCCATTTGTGTATGTGCAAGTGTTTCAGTTGTATAGCCGTGTGGTTTATTTTTAGTATTTTTTTCCACCATGTCCAACAGTTCTGGGATCTGCTGCTTGTCCTTGATGTTGAGAACAACATATCTTCCTCCACAGCTCTGACGGAGCTCCTGGATGTCTCTGTTTTCTTTCACAAAGTTAACAACAGCTGGAGCTGTAGGATCTGAGTCCACAGTGAACAGAATCATGGTGAAGTCATTGACCCGAGAGCTGAATGTGTTCTGGATGGTCTCTAACTCTCCCTTGTCTTCATCAGTGAGGGGAGCCACAGGTAGGACCAGGATGAAGGCATGGACACCCTCAGGATCACAGAGGGAGATACTCCTGAGTGATTCCTCCATCACTGCCTCCTGAGGTTCTCCATACAAGGCAGGCAGCTCCACCAGGGAAACCCAACGTCCATACACCTCTCCCTGATGTTTAACACACTCTGATGAGTTGGAGACTGAATGAAACTCTGTCTGACCTAAAATGGCCTCGGCTGCTGAAGTCTTCCCTGCTCCTCTCCTCCCACACAGAACCAGGTTTAAAGCTGGTTTGATGAGTTCAGACTTTGGTCTTATGGTCTCTTCAGTGAAGGTGAGGAAGGTTCCTTTGTTTTCATGCACAATGTTCTCAATCTTCTGCATTAACAATGTGTAGTCCTTTTCACCCATATTGCAGTGTCTTCCTCCACAGTCTGTAAGGAGTTCATTAATAGTCTTACTTTGATTCTCCTTGTGTGTCATGATGACCATTGAGTGTTTTAAAGCATCTTGACCAAACAAACTCAGGATGAACTTCAGTGTTTGTCTGTTCTCCTCAGTGAAATCAGAAGGTTTCACTAACAGCAGAAGAACATTTGGTCCAGGAGGACACAGAGTCACACAGTTCTTCATCTCTCTTCTCACGGTCTCCACAGACAGACTGAAGATGTCTGGAGTTTTCACCACTATTAATGGTTTTCCTCTCCACTCTCCATTGGCCATCACACAGTGTTTGACTGAGGAAGTTTTTTGGTAATGAAAAGTTTGGTTCCCAGTGATGAAGTTACCAAGTGTTGTCTGTTTGTCCTCACTTTTTCCCAGCAGCACAATCCTGAATCCAGATGCTGTAATACAACAGAGAGAAAGATTAAATGTCATAAATTCACTATGAGACTGAAATCACTTGTCTGACATGAGGAGATCGTCATCTACAGACTTGACAATGTTCTAACAACCACTGAATCCGTTTGTGGATTGAAGAGTCACAAATCACACACCAGTATGTACCAATAGATGGATATTAGGAAAGAGCAGCATTTCCCCTAAAATCTGAAAATGCAATGTATCAAAATAGAGTATTAAAGTAGTAATAGAGAGTGTAACAAATAAATAAAGATAACAGGTACCTATTGAAATAAAGATACTAACATGAAATAATTTAAAATCAATTTTAATTAAGTGAAGAATTGTGAGTTGTGTAAAACGATGCAGCCAAAAATATATCTACAGATATGTGATTAGCACTGTGATGAATTTACTTACTATGAGTCAAAGGGTTTCCCCAGGAGAATGTGAAATGCTGAATGTTTTTTACTATATTCCAACCTGTAAAAATTATTTGTCATGTGATTAATTAGCAGCTTAATATTCTAATTTAATCAAAGAAGATTTGTGTAATCAAAGTTTTCACTATCAGAATAGTTTCTGCACTTACCAGCAGCTTTAACAGCATCTGTGATAGAAGTCTGAGTTTCCTTTTGTTTTGGACTTTGATGATCACCTGGTAAAGTAGCTGTTGGGTCCTTAAATACATCACAGCTGACACATTCTCCATTATTCTCCTTCACAATTTGACCCAAGCGTGTTAACAGCTCTGAATGTTCAAGGTTCTTCAGCTTCAAATATCTGTATCTACATTTTCTGATCATGTCTTTTAATGGAGGACGTTCCAGGTATTTTTCCATCAACCCTGGACTCTCCTCTCTGGGTGTTGATATCAGAACCAGAGAATGATCAAATGATTGATCACTGAAGATTTCAAGGATTGATTGTAGTCTCAGTTTGTGTTCCTCAGTGAAGTCTTCAGGCTGTAGAACCAGCAGGAACACATGAGGTCCAGGATCAGAGAGTTTCACACAGTCTTTCACATGTTCGGTCAGTTTGTGTTGAGAGATGTTGGGATGCAGCAGATCTGGAGTGTTGATGAGAACTATTTCTTTCTCCTTTAACTGTCCTCTGACTGTCAGACAGCAGTCTGGTTCTTCCTCAGTGTTGATCTTAGTCTCTCCCAGTATGAAGTTCCTCACTGAACTCCTCTCAGACCAGCTGTTCCCCAGCAGAACAACCCTCAGCTCAGACACTGAAAAGAAAACAGTGAATTAGAAAAACCTTCTCAGTGTAGACCTTATCCAAAGTCAATACAATACAATTTAATTTATTGACATTTTAAGGTGGAATTTAGTGAATGTGTCACTGTTATCATGAAACAAATAAATTCACTGAGTTTGCGCCCTCAACCAACAAAGACTGTAATTAAAGATGTTAATGTACAGAAGAATAATTGACTTAGTTTAACTCACTGTAAGGTGGCAGCAATCCATAGCTGCTTCTCCGTTTTAGTGGTTGCAGATCTGTCATTGTAAGAATACAGAACACTGTAACACATGTAATCTTTAACTACTGGAGAGACATATGATATTATTATTATTACTGACTATTTATTAAGTTTATTTTTAAATGTGTTTTAACTTGTTTGAGTTAAAACAGGACGTGTGGGAAGAGTTTCTGGCTTTGATCCATTAAGTCTGAAGTCAAAACTCAGATTAAAACAACATATGTAGAAGATCGGCTGATATCTAGAGTAATGAGATTAGCAAACTAAAACAGGCTGGTTGTGAGCTTACAACCAAGATTGACCTGAAGAAAAATTGCCTTAAATCACCTTCCTGCACCAATGAAGAACAAAAAATCCTTCTCAAGATAAAGGCTCTGTTATCCTCTGGTGGATTTGAAATTAGGCAATGGGCAAGTAACCTTCCATCTGTTGTTGAACACCTACCATCAGCTGCCAGAACAGACAGTGCTGTGCTGAGTCAAAACCGGACAGATCCTGTAGAGGGTGTTTTAGGAATAAGCTGGCATTGTGTCTCTGATACCTTGGGTTTTAGACACAGACTTGTTTCTTACTAAACTCTAACCATGAGAAATGTGTACAAAGTGCTGGCTTCACAATATGACCCCTTAAGGCCAGGACACACCAACCCGATTATCGGCCGTCAGACGCCATCGGACAGTCAGGCGAGGTTGGTGACTCGAATCGGTTCGGTGTGTCCCGTGCTGTCGTCCATCGGCGTCGGCGTTCATTTTGGCTGATTCGACATGTAGAATCGGATTACCAATCTGATTGGTGGAGTGCTAGCCCTTGACTAGCGAATCAGTGAGTGCACGAGAAAACCGGAAGTGACAATGGTAAACAACGCCAGTATTTTGTTATTATTAGCCATCGTATTATCCGTTCAGCGAGTAATGACAATAACGATCCTTCTTGACTACTATCAACACTCTCTGATGAAAGCAATGACTGACAGATAGGATACATCATCCAATTCACTACTAGAGCCAAATTGATGTAATGGCCAGATCATATGTAGCTCCTTTAAAGCAACTGACTATACCCCGCTTGGAGTTATCAGCAGCACTGACTGGAGAGACCATACAGAATACAACACGTGGACAAATTTGGTAGATGCCCCTTGTCAAACATGGCAAATCTCAACCTGTCATTTAAATTCTAGTCCCACTGGTCTATCAAGAACTGAAGCAGAAATTGCATTAATTCCTCATGCACAATCTCAAAGTTCCCCAGAGGAATTTCCCCACATAGTTATCCATCACCACTATCTCCTAAGTGTGATAAAACACTGGAAGTCATAAGAGTGGGTGGCAGACTTAGACAAAGTAAAGACCTTGAACCTGATACTATCCATCTCATAGTGCTTGACCCTAAACATCCTTTATAACAGCTTCTGATAAAGGATTATGACAAGCGACTGCTCCACCCAGGACCTAATAGGGTACTTGCTTAAATGCGGCTTGCTTACTGGATGGAAATGGCGGGCAAAATCTGTCTATCCAAAAATGGCAGACCTACCTTCCTCCAGGCTAAGGCTATGGAAACCTCCTTTTTGGTGTACAGAAGTAAACTGTTTTGGTCTAAACATTAAAGTGGAGCGTCGAAAATGATGGGGACTACTGTGTGTGACCACCAGATGCATTCACATAGAACTTTTAAACTTTTTTAAAGTTATTTCTTTGGCCTTTTTTATTTTTATAGAGACAGCTGTAGAGAGACAGGAAAGATGGGTGGAGAGACAGGGGATGACATGCAGCAAAGGGCCACAGGTTGGATTTGAACCCGGGCCGCTGCAGCAACTCCGTATATGTGACGCGCCACAGAAAAACCAGCAACAAGTCGGCTGGGAGGAATTCACATAAACAAAGAAACTATTTTTTTCTCTCGTTTTTTTACAGAATGTGCAAGTTGAGATCATGAAGAAGCCACTCCATGTTTTAGATAACAGTATTGGTTGCCTTAAAAGTATAAATTTTGTGTTTGAAATCGGGTATAGTGTCAGGAAAGGCTGGCGCTACGTTGGGCGTGTCCGGCGATACAGGTAATTTCCATACTGGCTACCTGTGACCATTCACGTGCTTTTGTTATTTTTTTCGGCCAATCAGGGGCACGTTAGTAGCGAACCGCATGGCTACTTATGCAGCCCCCCCCACATAAATTCTGCTACTAAATCATGGCTGTACTTTAGCGAGATGCCGGATACTTCTGGTTATTCCGACGCCGATTTCACTTCTGATTCTGATGAGTGCACTGACGATGAAAGCGACTGTATTACACTGGAGAACATCCCTAATCTACAGCTGACCTTAGCCGAAGATGAAGACGAGGAAGAATCTCTCGGCCTCGCACCAGAGGAGCTGGAGCTTAAGATATCAGACACTATATCTACAGTAACATGTGAGGGGGATAAAGACAGCGAAATGGAGAAAATCCGTAACTTTGACTGCAAATGCTACGGAAGAAGAAAGGAGAACTCTCTCATTGGGACACATTTGTGCAGCGACAAACTTTCTCCAGAGCTTATGTACAGCCAGACGAAGAGAAAGCGCCCCCAGACCACTTATTCCATCGGAGACAATGAAGTCTGCAGGAATACTTTTCAGTTTCTTATGGGGTGAGTTTACATTAACATCCAAGTTATCTACTTTGCGTTATGTTTTCATTCAAAGTCGCAGTCAAAGTCACAGGGATTACAAACTGTTATCTCATGTTTTCTGTTTTCATGTTTATACCTTAGCACTGAGCAAGCTAACAACAACGTAGGCTGTTGTTTTAAAATGATATGCACATCGAAACTAAGCTGTAATGGGAGGTTTTGACTAGTAATGTGAGCATCTGCTGTTAAATTGAATAATGCTTGAATTGCTTGGAATGACTGTGATGCAAATGCTTTAGCAACTAGCCTACCTGAGGAACAGTTTGGATGTATACACCCAGAGTCAGGTGACATGGTGACAGTCTTCCTGTCCTGGCCCCACCTGGACTGAACATTGACAGGCAGACCTATCTTTATGAAAAAATCAGGCCTTTCTGTGCTGACGAGGCAAGAGACATCACATGCCCAGCGCCAAGGGTCATAACACAGAAGAGTCCATAGAAGAGTCCACAGAAGAGGATGCAGAAGAGGATGCAGATGTGATATCACCAAATAATTGGACTCTCTTCACACCCTCGCCACAATGTGCTGATCAGCCACAGGAGCTCATTCAGCAACAGACTGATCCATCTACACTGCACTTCTAAATTTCAATATCAATTTAATTTCCCTTATAGAGCACCAAAACAATACACATGTCTCATGGCGCTTTACAGAGTTTTAAACAGATGTGGTTGTAGATGTATAGATGTGGTTTATACCTTGGATTATGGCACAGGGGATTGTAACATCTTATCCTGTGTATTAATCAATGATTTTCAGGGGCTTTTTGTAATAAAAGCATTTCCATTTCAATAAAGTACCTTCTAATTCTGATCACTCCACTAAAGTGCGTAAGGAAAATAACACTACATCAACATTAACTACATGATAACTGCTTTTGATAACCATTGTTGGCTAACAGATACCAGATGTCACTGAGTGCAGGGGGTGGGGCTTATCTTAATGAGATGCAAATGAGCACCATTGTGTTGACTAGGGAGGGGGTAAGAATTTCCTGAGGTGAGAATTGCAAATGTTCTAGGGCTGTTTTCTCCCTAAAGGGTTTTTAATTGTGCATACATTCAAATGGCCACAACTTCTTCAAATATTATCAGATTTCCATGTGTTAGACATCTTTGGAAAGCTTAGAAACTACACTTTCAGAATCTGTAAAATGCCTCTCAGGAGACTTGTTGCTGGTTTTCTCGTGGTCACATATGGGTTGCCAGCTCTACCGACTGAGCTAACCGGGCACCCCTGCCACTTTTTTGTGTGTGTCTCCGATGTTTTATTGCACGTAGAGGACGCCCCTATGAGCTGCTTTCTGACTGGGGCACCAACTTCAAAGGAGGAGACAGAGAGCTGAGAGATGCATTTATAGCCATGAACCCACACCTCAAGGAACAGCTAAGTGAATACCAAATGCAGTTCCACTTTAACCCTCAAAACGCGGGATGGTCCTCTTCTACAGGCTGTCTATGCATATGCAATATACACTAAAGCGGCGGCCGTAACACTCCCCCCTTAAATTACAAGCCCTTGCGGCTTGACGTCAAGGTTACATACATAACACATAGCTAAGTTCTACAGCCTAGACAAAGCATCCGCGATTACATTTTCAGACCCCCTTTTATGATGGATGTCGAGGTTGAAGTCTTGGACCAACAGTGCCCACCGCATGAGTCGTTGGTTGTGATTAAACATGCGGGACAGAAAAACAAGGGGATTATGATCAGTGAACACTAACAGGTAGAGAAGTAGACCCAACATAGACCTCAAAGTGCTGTAGTGCTAACAACAGAGCAAGGGTTTCCTTTTCAATGGTGGAATAATTTGCCTGGTGTCGGTTGAACTTGCGGGAAAAGTAAGCAACAGGGTGATCAATGCCATCCTTCCCCCTCTGTAATAGGACCGCACCAGCGCCCACTGCACTGGCATCTACCTCGAGCTTAAAGGGCGTGGAAAAGTCAGGGGCCGCGAGCACAGGAGTGTGACTTAACAAAGCCTTCACACCATCGAATGCTACCTGGCATTCTGGGGTCCACACATAGTCTACCTTAGGGCTGAGCAAGCTTGTTAGTGGAAAAGCGATACTGGAGAAGTTGCGGCAGTAACTCCTATAGTAGCCAGCCATTCCCAGGAACCGACGCAGCGCTTTACGTGTGGTTGGCACGGGGAAATCCCTAATGGCAACGATCTTCGCCTCAGGGGGGCGCACTTGTCCCTGTCCAACCTGCTGACCGAGATAAGTTACGGTGGCTTTTCCAAATTCGCACTTGGCCAAATTTAGAGTCAACGTAGCGCGGGCCAAACGGTCAAAAACCTGCTCCAATACATGCATGTGGTTCTCCCAGGTATCTGAATAAATGATTAAATCATCGAGGTAAGCGTTGCAGTTTGGCAAACCGGACAATACAGTGTTAACTAGTCTCTGGAATGTAGCAGGAGCGTTACACATACCAAAAGCCATCACATTGTACTGGCAGAAATGATCGGGGTGACAAATGCGGAAATCTCTCTGGCACGGTCTGTTAAAGGTACCTGCCAATAACCTTTTAGCAAGTCTAAGAGCTAATCCTCTAACAGGATTAGCTCTCTCAACGCATTGAAATCACTAACTTTACATGTTGCACACCATTTATCAAACAGAGTTCCCTTCTCACGGGCAAACTCAACATAGGTCTGAGCAGAAGTTTTCTTGTGACCTCGAAACTTCTGTCGGTACGCTTCAGGCACAAGTTCATAAGCTCGTAAGATAGCTGTCTTGACAGTTTCATAATCTAAGCTATCTTCAACAGGGAGTGCAGCCATAGCAGCCTGAGCTTTACCATGCATTTTACACTGAAGCAGAAGCGTCCATACTTCAGGTGGCCATTGTAAAGCAGCCGCTATCCTCTCAAACACATTGAAATAGGAGTCAACTTCATTATCCCGAAATACAGGTACTAAAGCCACATGCTTACTAATGTCAAACACTATTTTAGGAGAGCTGGTGGAGGTGGTGGAAGGTGGTGACATACCTGAGCCTCTAGGAGCACTCCACCCTGTGTCAGAAGCCTCAAGCTCGAGTTGTCTCAGTCTCACTGCCTTCTCAGTCTCAGCCTGAAGTTCAGCTTTTCTTATCTCCAACTGGAGCTGGAACTGGGATTGGATCTCCCGCTCATGAGCTTCCAGTTGCAGCCGAGCCAGACGGACTTTAAGCCGGTCCCCGGCATTTCCAGTACTGCTCTGTGGGGAAGGATCATACTTAGGCATAATAAACGGGGTCTTCCCTCGCTCACCTGCCTGGTAGACTTCCCCAGAGTCTGAGGGTGTCTGAGTACTTGGACCACTCCTTCTGCTGAGGAACTGGGAAGAGACCCAGACTCCAGCTGCTCAGTCAGAGTAATCACACCCTGTTCCACCAATCCACTAATCACTCGTTCTCTAATTTCTTTTTTAAGCATGGACCTGACAAAGGGAATATTGAAGTGAGTAGCTAGCTCCACTAAATCATCCTTCCTACAACTATTTACTTGTTCAACGGTAGGATGTTCAACAAATGTCTCCAAATCAAACTTTTCTGCCATGGTGCTCAGTAGCCAGCAGCACTCACTCAAGCAGACAGCTGAATCCACTAATGAGCTCACTTAACTTACCTAGTAGTCAAAGGAGCCCAGCAAACTCTCACCAATTAATTAAACACTGACAGACCCTATTCCAGTGTCAATTTACAATTACCAATATACAATTTTCTTTTTTATCCCGGACGAGCCCCCATTTATGTTACGACCCAGCTCGTTTTGGGGAGCAGTAACATATAATTGGAATTGGAAAAAGAGATGGAATACAACAATTGACAGGTTCAGGTTAAAATCAGTAGTTTTAATTAATTAAGGAGAGTATGCTTGCACAATGAAATACAACAAAGGAGAGGCTATACAGGTGCTGACAAACAACTAGTACAAAAATGAAAAGGACTGGATAATACTGAAGAACAAAAAGAGATCAGCACCCATACGCTTACAAACTAGAAACAAAACCAAACTAGCAATTACTGAACAACTTAAAGGGTCACAAAAGATACAAAGGCACTGGCTGAATCCACTCAGACAACAGCCAGGCAACACTAGAAAGTACAAACACTAACAAAATGGTGTGCAACCAACAGCAAGGCGAACTGATCACTAGATCACAGCCGCCCTGAACTGTGGACACAGAAGCTATTTAAGTGCAGCTGGGGTTAATTGAAGTCTCCTGATTGGTAGCTTCAGTGGACTTGCAGCCACACCAATCACTGAAGCCAGGGGACAGCAACCAGGAAGTAGGCGGTCTCTGCTCCAGAGGACCAATCCTCAACAGGGAATCACATGAAACACCATAATGAATATACACTAAAGCGGCGGCCGTAACAGTTACCAATGACCTTTTAATTGCACCAGACAATGGACTTGTCTCTGTACTTGCTGTTAGATCTTAGTGCTGCATGTGACACCAATGACCATCATATTCTATTGCAGAGACCTGAGTACATTTTCTTTCATGTTAACGATGAATCCTCCATGCACACTAAAGTTAGTAATGGAGTTCCACAAGGTTCTGTGCTTGGACCAATTCTATTCACTTTATATATGCTTCCCTTAGGCAATAGTATAAGGAATCACTCCATTAAGTTTCACTGTTATGCAGATGATACCCAGTTATATCTATCATCAAAGCCTGATAAAAATTAATCAATTAGCTAAATTACATGTATGTCTTTGGCATAGACATAAAAACCTGGATGTCCTGCAATTTTCTGACGTTAAACTCAGACAAAATTGAAGTTCTTGTACACCTCTGCCAGAGCCTTCAGCTACCAAGCTCCTCTCCTGTCGAACCAGCTTCCAGTTGTGGTTCGGGAGGCAGACACCCTCTCCACATTCAAGAGTAGGCTTAAGACATTCCTCTTTGATAAAGCTTATAGTTAGGGCTGGCTCAGGTGAGTCCTGGACCATCCCTTAGTTATGCTCAGGGGTGAACTGGCCATCTGGCATACCGGGCATCGTCCCAGTGGGCCGTTGACCCAATGTGGGCTGGTCCGGTCCGCTATGTTTTTTTGTTTTTTTTCTCTCTCTAAATTCCCTCCAGTTGGGCCAATTGGCTACAGAAGGCTAGCAGTGTGTTGCCAGCATCGACACATATTATTGGTCAATGTTTGTCATTGTCAATCAATCGTGGGCTGACAGGCTCAGAGAGCCCTGACAGTGCTGTCAATCATAACACAAACCAGGGTGGGCGGGACCTCATGGCATGGGCCGGAGTGGCGGGACGGGCTGCTGCTGAGCTGAAGATGGATAACCGTAAGAAACACCCGGGTGGCACTGAAACACTGCGACTTAAAAAGCTGAAGTCTCTGGAGGTGGAAGCTGCTAAATGTTGGACATTGACAGACCTATTTGGTGCCGGGGTCACCACCCCAGCAGGTGCTGCTGCGCCGGGAGACGAGCGAGTGGAGGCAGACATGGTGAGTAACGTTAGCCTGGTTTTTCCATTGAATGTGATGGGACCTCATTAACTGCATACTTGTGACAACATATTAGCCCAGAGTTGAAGGGCTGTGACTGTTGGTAGTTGTGGTTGATTTGGTTTAAATATGCCGAATTGTGATATCATAGGTTATTATTGATCTAAGCTAGCTAACAGCTGCTAACGTCAGCAGTCTCTTGTTGCCATAGCAACAGTAACCATTGACATGGACTGATGACTGTAAATAGAGATGCAGAATCAAGCTGTATTGTAAATACAGATGAGATACTTTGAATTTGAGCACAAAATACAAGTAAACCTAGAGGAAATAATGAGTTTAATTTGCAATATTTGCCATTGAATTTATTGTAATCTTTCAATTCATAAGGTTAGAGACTTAATAATGTCTCCATGTCCCTCTCAGGTTGAACACTTGACATGTGAGAGCCTGAGGAGTTGTTCCCCCTCCGTCCATTTTCAAGGACTTGCTCTCTCTCTGCCTCCACTTCACCACTTTTTGGCTACTGAGACGTCTCTGATTGGTTGAGTATGTCATGTGTCTTGTAATGTTATATGAATTCATACTTGATTTGTGATGATGACTTAATAATGTTTCCATGTCTCTTTTAGGTTGACCACCCTATATATGAGAGCCTAAGGAGTTGTTTTCCCTCTGTCCCCTTTTGAGGACCTGCTTTGTCTCCTCCATCATTCACTGGGCCACTTTTGGCTTCCTGAGCTTATTTCACGTGGTGAGAGGAATGCAATATGTGTATGTTTAAAGGTTTATGTGAAGAAACATACTATATGTGTGATAAAATGACAATTGGTAATTCATAAATGTCTCTTTATATTCTCTGCTACCATCATCTCCTGTCAAACAGGAGAGAGAGAGAGAGAGAGCTTCGTCTTGACTTTGTGAGTTTATTATGCAACTTGTTTTGTCTCAGATTTAAACAAAAGGTTTGATTATGATTATTTCCTGGTTGAAGATTTTCATATTGATGATTTTAATTTCAAACATCTGCATATCTTTTAAGTTCACTTAACAGTTATGCAGGTAGGGCTCTTTTGAGACTTCAGTGATCCTTAATGACAGATACATTTGTTCACTAAGTGTCACTACATCACAAAAAGGCTACATGGCTACATATACTTGTCAGTACACAGATACTGAGTACAAGTTCTGTTTGCTGTTTCTTGCAGGTCATGAATTTGGTGAGGAAGTAGGGCAATATATACATGTGCACGTACACGTATATGAGAATGCATATCTATTCAGACCTGTAATTCATGTCTTAGACTTTTTCACACAGCTATAGATCATTATTTTTTACTCTATTTATGGTTTCATAATGACTGAGTCACCGTTAAAACCAATGAGTTTCAGCTCTAATGCTGCTACTGTCTGTAATATGTTTCTATTTAGATTATTTGTCAGGATATTTTGTTATTATTGTCCCAGTCTGCTTTTAACTAATGCTGGGCTTACACCAAAAGATTTTCACAGTCACAGACTAAAAACTGAAAGGGTAGCATGAGGGTTCTTCCCGTTAGTCTCGTCCCACCCCTAGTCATGACATAACTTCTGATTTGACACTATAATGAATAAAGACTGATTGATTGATTGCTATAGCTGTCAATTTTAGTCCTTGAGTTCATAGTTACGTGCTTTATTTGTTAACTGCTATCAAGAACTATGACTCTCCCTTGTAGTATGCATGAGAGGAGATGCTGCGAGATTTGTCGACTTCTATGTAGTGTAGAGGTGGGCGATATATATCGTTTGAGATAATATCGTCATTGTTGTTTTGACGATGTGCAAATTTCCATTATTGAGTATTTAAATTACTTCGCCAAAAATATTGGAACGCACGTGGAAACTCCTCACATCCACTTAATACACGGTGCAGCAACGCTCTCTACAGCATGGCAGGATTCAGTCACGTGATCACATGACGTGATCACGTGACCTCTCGCTAGCATCCTCCTTGCAACAGTTTAGCAGCGCATTGTGATGGTAGAGAGAAAATGCAAGCACCTCCAGTCCCTGAAGCTAGTGCCGAGACGTGGGTCTACCTCTCTGGCATGGAAATGGTTTAGTTTCGAAAAGACTTTTTTAGCGCAGTTGAAATCTGTTCAACTTTTAACACTGCTGGGCGCTCGGAAAATTAGTTTTTGGAGCTCTCAGTGCTAAAAACGCGTTTGGTGGAGACAAGCCCTAACTACAGACAATTCCAATCACATTTTAAAGGATATCGACTGATTATCATTATCGCCAAAATCCCAAAAAATAACGAGATATTATTTTTTGCCCATATCTCCCACCCCTAATGTAGTGTCTGCTGATAATGTAGTGGGCTGGTCTGGACAGAAAATGCCAGGGCTGAATTTTTGTCCCAGTCCACCCCTGGTTATGCTGCTATAGGCCTAGGCTATCAGGGGAACTTCCCATGATTCACTGAGCTCCCCTCGTCCTCACTCTCTCTCTTTCTGCACTCATTCATGTCCTATTAATTCATGTTACTAACTTCACTTCTTGCAGCTGTAGCCAAGTGCTTGATCATGGTGGGAACTGTTGGGTCTCTGTAAATAATGTTATAAGGAGTATGGACGGTCTAGATCTGCTCTATTTGAAAAGTGCCCTGAGAAAATTTTGTTATGAATTGGCGCTATACAAATAAAACTGAATTGAGTAGTCTACAGGAATGTAATGGTAACAATTGTTATAATGATAAACCTAAAAACAACCATTTTCAGTGGATATGGAGCTCTGAACACCAGATTACTTTTAGTGCAAAAATAAATAAAAGCTGAAAGCAGCATTGGGCGGGACCTCGCACTCCATGCAACTTGGGGTGTGGTGCGGCTGCGTCACATGCCGTCGTAACATGTTCGGACCACAACATGAAACTTTCACGTCACCCCACTCCTAAGCCCTCATCGCCAGAAGCTGAGGGAGATCACTCTACGTTGTCACACGTTTGACGAAAAATCAACAGGAAGGATTGATCGGATGTATATGTTCAGGGGGTCAAAAATGCGATTAAAAATTCCCACAAATAATAATAATAACTTTAGCAAAAACAATTGAGACCTCACAGTGTTTGACACTGGCTCGGTCCCTAGTAATAAAGTTGGACTGGACTCACCTGGTGCTGCAGTCGCCATGATGTCACTGTGCTGGAAACTAATTAAACTGAAAACCAATGCCTGCTTTAATAACCTGAAGAGAGGAAGATAAAATGTTATTAAAGGTTTGTTAACTTGTCTGACTTCATCTGCTGCTGCCTCATGTTACACAGACAAGCTTCTTTGTATAAAACTACAGTTTGACACAAAATGTGACAGTTTACACATCATTATTGGCATATATAGTAACAATAATTAGAGAAAGTCAACATTAAGAATCTGTAATAGTCCAATCCAGGCATATGTGAAAGGGTCGGTACAGCCCTGTTCAGCTCTGTCTCATCTAGATGTTTCCCACAGAGAAGCTCTATGTGCTCTGCGCATTTGGAAGACATTTGTGCACAGATTGTGAGGTTCACCGCAGAGGGCAAGGGTGTTTGGAGACCGTCAGAATCATAGTTTACCCCAATGATGTCCTCTATGAAAGATATCTATTCTCATCTGAGGGAAATCAGTATTTATACCATCTTAGATTAGATTAGATTCAACTTTATCGTAATTGCACAAAATACAAGTCAACAACAAGACAACAAAATGCAGTTAAGCATCTAACCAGAAGTAAAGTGCAGAGTAATGTGCTTCTATGGCCAGAATGCATTTGTTATGTTCCCATTTAATCCTTATAAAGATCATTTAATGAGGTTGCAGGTAATTCACAATATAATTCAAAATATTAGTGATAATAGTAAATAGACTGTAAAGCGCCTTTCTAGTCTTTCGACTATGCGCTGTACACTACATGCCTCACTCCCCCCATCCACAGTGCCAACTGGCAGTTGCTCATCAGAAAAGAAACTAATCATTCACACCAATGTGCAGCATCATGGACACTTTGACATGCAGCGAGAGGAGCTGGGGATCAAACCACTAACCTACCCATTGGTGGATGACTCGTCGTACCTCTGAGCCCCCATATGCTATGCAGAACTCTATTTCCAGAAGAATCCAGAGGGTGATTGGTACGACTGACTGTACACTTATTCTAACAGTAGCATTACATTCACACAGGTAGCCTTCAGCCTTGTTGCTTTAGGGAGCAGATTTGAATTCAGGGGTTAAAGTTGTCAGACACCATGTCTGATTTCAGACATAATGCAGTTATAATTAATAAAATACATTGTACACATTTCCTCATGGATAACTTTCAGGCATGCGTTCTTGCTTTAATTGCTTTTAATTAACAGGTCAATTTCTGAGAATTGTTTTGCCTTTAATTTACCACTTTAATCTTGGAAATCTGCAGCAGTTATATTCAATCACATCACAAATAAATCTTGTCAGACAGAAAGTCACAGAACAGCTCTCGAAGACACAGACAGACAGACAGAGATGCTGCAAACGGCACATCAACTTAACCTTACTGTTACTTACTGACATCAAACAGAGAGTTTTTTGTTGTTGTTCTGTTTCCACAATTCACTGCCTTGGTGTTTCTTCCTCTTTTTCTGTCGGAGAGTCCATTCTTCCACTCATTAAAGTTGTAAACACTCACACCCACTTCGACACGAGAAGGAGGTGGGGCCCTTGCAAACTGGTGGGTCCCTAGATGGATAGATACTTTATTTATCACGAGGGAAATTCAAGAATGCCGCTCGGGCGGACTGGCTCTGGGTGAATCAAATACAGGGTTGTTCTCCTCCTCTATAAGAAAGGCAGAATGCCTACTGCTGCGCATTTACACTGTAAAGCAACTCTACTTCCTCTTCCTCTCATAGTCTCTAAAATGGCATCTCCTCCCTTCGACCTAAAAGTTTCTAGAAACTTTAGTCTCAGTGTGTCAGTAAATCTCCTCATTTCAGAGAGATTGTGCAGATTAAACACTGACTGAAAACATTTGAGGAGCTCTCGGTTGAGCCCAGAACACACAGACAACAGTGGACTGACGGAGGAGGATCGATCATAGAATTATTAACTAGTTTTGCTCCAGTTCACTCACCTGCTGGATGTCTTGCTGCTGCACAACCATCAGTGAAAGTGAAAGTAAAAACGCTCACTGCAGTCAAACAGGAAGAGGACTCATTTCCTAGCAGCCTCTGCGCGTCTGACAAGCACATCTTTATAAAACTGTAAACTGGGCAGTGCTGGGATTATGCACTTGAACATACATTGTACATTTATTTTTTCATTGTAAGCAACTCTATACTTCTGTTTCACTCAGACTTCAATACATTTCATAGAATATTGTATTTTGTACTCCACTACATTTATTAACACACATGTTATCAGTTTATAAAATATGATGCTGTGTTACAGATTGAACTACCCAAAAGAATCTAAAGTATTTACATAAACTCCACTTCAACCAGCTATAACATAAATTAGTACATTTAGCTGATAATACACTTGTACTTTGATGCAGGACTTTTACTTACGTAATGTAGACGTAAGATAGTGTGTGCTATCACTACTTTTACTTAAGAAAATTATTAAAATTTTTCCACCACTGATAGTGAGGTGTACGTGTACGCTGTACTTTTAAAAACTTGACTGTAAATATATTCAGAAGTATAATCAAACAAAACAAACGCATTGAATAT